TGCTAATAAATCGATAAACTCTTAAGATAATTAATGAGCTACAATTATCTTTTTTATAGGAACTTATTTTTATGTACTATTAAACTCAGCATCCATTTCTATCACGACTTTTAAAAACATCATTTATGGCAAATTTTGCTGTGTCTACGGCTGAAAGAATATTTTGAAATGTACACCGTGGAAGAACCACAAAAACAGCCATACAGACAAATTGTTTGCCTCTTGCTAAAGTCTATTGACCTTGAATAAAGTTCAGATCGCATAAATTTAGGAGTGTTTGAAAAAAACCTCAATCAGGATGTCGGGGTTTTAATTTTTGATTTAATAGTTAAAAATACTTTGTATCACCTTTTTTTCTCTTGTGAGCCACCAGTGGTATGCATACCACCGGTTGAGAACCCCTGCTGTAGTTGATTGCTCCACATCTGCAGCATTGGTGCACGTTAATTCCAGAAGTTGTCATCTTTCCTTTAATAGCCGTCTGCCTGAACTGCATAGTGTTCAGTTATCTGGAACGGTCATTTTCAACCTTTTTAGCCCTATGCAACTTCTTTCACCATTGCTAGGAGATCATTCCCCTTCCTTTCCAAATCTCAAAAAGCACACATATAAATTCATTTAAATTTAGATAATTTTCAACTTGTATTATAAATTAAACAACAGAATGAAATGTTGATAAATAACAAAGCTTGAATATATATTTTTTCATATTCATAAACTAAAACTTAATGCTTAACAGATAAATAAAAGACTGACCAGATTTGCCTTTAAAGCCAAGGTTCTTTAATATACTAAGGTTAGGCCAGGAACGGAAAAAGCGTGCCATTGGTTGCTGGTAGTGACGTCACCCGGGAGACAAGACGCATCGGCCGACACGTCTGCTACATGATTTTGGTAATGGAAAAAATGTAAACTAAAGCAAAATGATCATTTTATATGTGGTAGATACACCGGAAATACCGGGTATATACTTTCCGATTAAGTATTTTGTTAAAGAAAATGTTTATTTTATGCACAAAATTCGTACGAATGCTGAAAATAATTGTAAACATTAAATTCTTTTCGTAAAGGAAAGCATTAGAAAATGAAAAACGATATTTAAGTTAATTAAGGGAAATAAATATTGTAAAACAAGGTATTTTTCAATATTTTTTCGTAGTATTGTTTGTACTAAATAAATCTTGTTGAACAGAACACATGATGGCATAACTGCTAAGACCATGGTAAAAAACATAATCAAAAAGTATTATTCTTTATTTTCATTGCTCATGCACTTTTTTTAATACAAATGAACTTTGACATTCCATGAGAAAATATATGATCGTGATTTTCAGTTTAAATTACATATCTCAAGCAAAATATATATAAAAAGATTTGACTTAACAAATTCATATTTAAATACCATAAAATTCTACAAATTTCTTAATATCCGTCATTATACTTTTAAATAGTATACTTATCACATTCTTTTTAAAGTGAAAAGTCACTTCATACTGATTCACTTCAGATTTTAGCAGAAGTGCATATATTTTCAGTATAATCTAAAAGTACTCTTATAATCCCTTACACTCCCAAGATTTCTATATAACATTTATCCTGACGTGATTATTTGCTTTAGTAAATAATCTTCGATATTGGCATCCTATTCTTCCTTCCATACATTAAAAATGGAACAATAAAAATACATTTTCTTACACATATACGCACAATAATAATAATAATAAACTTGCCCTACATCTTAGTTTCGGCCCACCAGCGGCCGAGCGGTAAAGTCGCTGAACACTGGTAGTTCGGTCCGAATCCCGCGAACGGGCTGGCTGCATGGGCGTTTTCGTGGTTTTCCTCATGTGTAACGTGTATACGAGCCAGTTTCCCTGAGAAAGTCCTCCACAAAGGCATAACACCTATTACGCAGATAGCTTTAGTGTGCTTTGCCATAATTAAATACACCACCACATCTTAATTTAAATTCAGACTGTACACAAATTAAATATTTTTAATTACTAATGTATTTTTATAAGGTTGTTTCTTAAAATACTTTTGTTATACTCGAAATATGTGTTCAATATTGAATTATTTTTCTTTCTCTTATAATTAAAAACAAGTTATATGGAATCAAAATTAAAACATATGCAGCAGTTAAATAACACTGAACAGAATATCTTACTTACTCTTTCGCTATTTGTATTCTAGCATTATACACAGATTTGTTTTCCTTCAGGTTCAAGCATGTGTAAGTTATATCAATTAAATTACATCACACATACCTGTATGCATCAGTTAAATAACACTGAAGGAAATATGTCACTCACTCATTCGATGTTTGCATCATAGTGTGGTCGAGAAATTGTTCTTTCCTCACGGTGAGGCATGTATCAGTTTACTTAGTTCGCAAAGCTTAACCCAGACGCTGCTTCAATACATAGAATTACGTTTGGGATGTAAAGAAAGTAACCAAAACATGTGAATGAAGTTGGATACGCGAATTTATTAACTAATCATTCAGGTACTCAGTATTGGTAAACATGACACTGAGTTTAAATATCTCACTACGATGTAAGTCTCATACACAAAATGAAGATTATGATAAAAAATGATTTAAAATGAGAAATTTTTTCAATTTAAATGTAAAATAGCAGTAAAATGAAAAATAAATGTAAAATTACATCACAGTTATGTATGAAAACTACATAAATTCATTAAAAAATAGTTATTTTATCTGGTTGTAAAGAGTGTTTTCCGCCAAAAAAACGTATTAACGTGTATAATTCTGACACAACGCTATAGCACAATTTGCCACTTCCGCCTAGGTATAATAGCAAATTAACAACACAAATCAAATCAAACTGTTGATGCAACGAAAGTAAACAAACGCCAAGAACTAACGCTGTCACCCACATGACGTCATGCGTATGTGGCATAACTTTCTCCCTGCACTGTGTATCGCTCTTGGGTCCCCCGTGCTTTAAAGCTATGAAATTTCTCCCTGGTGAAATTCGTCCCTGTTGGTCCTGAACAACAGGTTCAGTATTGCCACACCCATAATTCAGCCTCTAATGACAGACAGCTGTTCTCCATCACTCTAGTCCAGAATGTCAATGTGAACATCAAGATCATCATAATCATAAGTGAATGTGAAAAACACAAAAGGAAATATCTTATTCTCTCACAATTTTTTAATTGCTGTTGTGACTTTCTCTTCATGTAATTAGTTGCATTGAATGTCATATTTGCTGTGTCATGGCATTGAGTTTTATCAACATAGTGTGGATCCTTGGGTGACTTTGTAAGAACTGTAAAATCTGAATCTCAGTTTTAAAACTCTCGCAAACTAAATTCCTCTGAATTATGTCTTAAGTCATTTATCTTGTAAAGTTTAAGCTTCTTTCTGTTCTTGTTGAAATGTTTCCTATTTTCTTGTAATTTCAAGATGTTTCTTTTAGGTGTCATTTCTCATCATCATATTCTTAATCGCTTTAATCTTCATGAATGATATTTTTATATAATACAGATAAATCGCATAACGAAGGGACAATTCAAATAACTACTTTTGTTTTTGAATCTTCTAAACTGATGCACAGCATTATAAACATTAATTAACTCATTAAAAGTAAACTCTTTTGTACAGTGATGGTTTTTTATTTATTTATTTATATCAGAACTTTGGTGAAGTATGAAACCAGAAAATTTGTGTAGTCTTTACCTGTTGTTTCTATTACTATCATCATTAAAAATCAGTTTGTGCTGTTCAGATTTTCAAAGTTTTTTTTTTTTTTTTTTTTTTTTTTTTTTAAAGCAACTTCCAGTTTTGGTGTCCCAATTAATTTTATATTAAAAAAAAAAAAAGAATGCTTTGTACTCATCAAACAAGTATGATGGCCACTGTGTAGTTGAAAATTTAAATGTTCAGAGTTTGTCCTTACTTACATAAGACACTTCCATCCCACTTTTGGCACCAGTTTATTGTGGTTTCGAGATCTATTTAACTGACACAATGAATTAATATTTTCTTGCTTAGTAAGATGTTTTAATGGGAGAAAGACAAATTATAAATGCATACACAGTTTAATCAAAGGCCAACATCTTACATTTTAGTCATTACCAACTCTAATAGATCTTCTTCAAAATAAAATTATTGTCAGATGATTATTTGATTACAGTACTCGCTATACACAAACATAAAACAAGACTAATGCCAATTAATAATTTAGTAGCTAAAGAAACAGTTCAAAACAATTGCATAAACCGTCATTTGAAATGTTTGTTTCCCATCAAGTTCGAAAGTGGTTGATTGTACATCTGCAGTATTGGTACATGTTAGCTTTGAAGCTCTCTTCTTCCTTTCATATATAATGGCCATCTGCCTGGGTTACGTGGAGAATTTAATGGTCTAGAAGAAGCACTGTTGCCACACCCACATATGTATTTTATCAGATATATATATGTGTATATTTTTATAAATCTTAAAAGTTCTGTTACAGATAATTTTTTATGAATGATGTCTTTACTTAAATAAGGAAAATTACAAAAATGGAATGAAATGATCATGCTGAACATTTTGTTTGATTGAAAGGAACTGAGTCAAAAATGTTCGATAAACTGTGTTATAGGTAATTTGTAGCTAGAGCTGTCTTCAAGCTTCGGTGACATAGGTAATACCTTTAGGTGGCGAATTTTGGAGCACCAGCTAAATTGTTCTTGCAGTCAGCAACTAAACAAAGTATAATATTTTGCTGTAAATTTTTAATAAGTTTAAAGCACATGAGGTGACAGCTGTACTGACTCCTTTAGGTACGAGAAATTCTGGCTATGAAGTAATTTCAATTCTATATATTTTCTGTTAATGTTAGTAAAAAGAAACTTCATACAAATAAAAAATATTTTTGCTTACATTACTACAAACTAAACTTAATTATTGCATGTTGTCTCACTTTGTATGCATATATTTTTAAATTGCTGTATACCATTTTATTTTATTTATTTATTTATTTATTTTTTAGGCTGAACCTAATCTGTCATGAATGATTTAGGTGTTCAAGACGTATATACGTTACAAATAAGAAGACATGCAAATTTAAATAGTTTATCACCAAACTGTGAAGCATGTAAAAATGGTTTTCTTCATGTTAACAGCTTGCAAGTACGTGAATTTACTCAAACTGGAAAACTTCCAGGTGTTTGTAAATCTTGCAATGATGCATTTCTGAGAATCTGTAGATTGCAGATTCGGCATTTGACTCAAACAGAAAACCATCCCCATGTGTGTGATGTATGCAGTAAGTCTTTCACTCATGCTGGAAATTATAGGAAACATATGCTCCTTCATGAACAGGAAATTTCAGGAGGTATACCACAAAATGGGAATGGCAATTCTCCTCCCAAGCCCCCATTTATCTGTGACAAGTGTTCAAAAAGTTTTGTAAAGTATGGTAGTTTCCAAAAGCATTATTTACGTCATGATGAAGTGTACATCTGTGAGCTATGTGAAAAAAATTTCAGTAGCAGAGCAACTTTAAAGGCTCATATTCGCACGCATGAAGTAAACAAACCACATAGATGCAAATTTTGTAAAGAAGGATTTACTTTGCCTGATATGTTGGAGCAGCACTTGTTGAACCACTTGCAAGATCAAAACAATGCAGTAAATGGAGCTACTGAAGAAGATGATCTTGCAGAAGAACAGGAAAAATTTGAGAAATATAATCACTTTTGCAACGTATGTGAAAAAGGATTTGTTCATTTAGGCTCTTTAAAAAATCATATTTTGACTCATAGTGGTGAATTGCCTTATCAATGCAAAACTTGCAAAAGAAGATTTGTACATGCTGGCAGATTGAAAAAACACATAAAACTGCATACTAAAAGCAGCAAACGTTATTCTTGCAAAACATGTGGTAAAGGTTATACACTTCTGAAAACTTTGAAAAAACATAATGCATTGCATAAAACTCCAAGCACAAGTTCATGAGACTACTGCAGATTCTAATTAATTAATAATCATACTCAAGAAATGCGAATTTATCAGTTTGTGTTTACTTATTTGCATGGAAGAATCAAAAGAACATATCATTAATACATACATTATGAGTTAATTAAAATGAAATGTTTCTTCAAAATATAAGTTTTCTTGTGATGAGTATAGTAATATACTATTTTTTAAAAGAACTAGAGGGTTTATTTAAAAGAAATTTTTGTTAAAAGTTATTAACTGCAGGTAAAGAACTTGAGAAAAACTGTCTCATTTATTGCTTTTAATGTAAAATTAATGGTCATATGTATCAAGTGAAATGTTGTTTAAAGAAAATATATTTAAGATTATTTAAACATAATTGTCACATTCAAGAAGAGTTGAGATACCTCCAAATCCGCCACAACATTTCTTGGATTTCTTCTTGTGTTAAGTCCTTGTGTAGTGCGATAAAGTATTTATCAGACAAGAAAGAAGAAAAATCAGAAATGCCCTTCGCCGGGATTTGAACTATAGACTACTCATTTGCTAGTCGACATGCTTCCAATTATACTATGAAGGTACATGGTAAGGAAGGAGAAAAATCCCATGTGTTTATCTTCATATGATAGTTTGACACAGATGACAAGTAGAAATCTGTTATTGCTTATATTGAAAACACAGTTTTGGTCGTTTTCTTATCTTGACCTACTAGTGTCGAAATGGATAATTACTGAGTAATTGTAGTTTATCTATAGTTAATTCATTTGAATCCTAGCAAATGAGTATGGATGGTCTTTCCCATTGCTAACATGACTTCATACCAATTCCTCTTAGAAATTCACCCATTAAAGCATGTCTTCCCACAGCCAGGTAGTTCTGCCATGTTTACCAGTTAAGCATCCTTTATCTTTAGATTTGTTAAGCTATGTCTAATATTCTGTTAAGGATATTAGACATAGCATGTGAAATATTGTGAAAAGTGAGTAAATTTTTTAAACTCGTCATTTATGAACTCATTTCTAAGAAATGTTGCAGTCGGCTCAAAGTTATCTTAACTGCTTCAGAATCTGATAGTTGTTTTATAATGAGATATAAATTTGATAATCTGCACCTTCCTTTGTGGTCATTTGTAGTTGGAAATGTTATGTTCGAAATTCATGTATTTCGTTATTTTTATTTTTTTTTATTATTATTATTATTATTTGGAGTTTTTTTAACCAGACTTTTTTTATATTTGCAACTTTAAAACGATTCAGTTAAGTATTATTTCTTTCCCATGCGAGATTTCAGTGGGTTGTGGTTCCTAATCTGTAGTACAGCAAAAAAATGCTATTCTACAGAAGGGGGGGGGATATTTATTTGAGAGAAAAAGCAACTTTTCGCTAAGGTAGTAATGAAAAAAGTAGAATTTAGTTATTTTGAATATGTCAAAGCACATAAGGGCTATCTACTTAAGAGAGATATGCCTTTGTGGAAACCTTTCTAAAGACAACTAACATGGAGAAAATTACAAAAACCAAGCATATTATCAGCCTATTCAGTTCGAGTGTGTTCACCTGAAACATTGAAACCGAGATCAAACTGTCAGTATGCCACAGTCTTATATACTTGGTGATTCATGTGGTGTTAGTGAAAAAAAATTATTAATTTTTAATTTGTTTAATCCTTGGTAATAAAGAGAAGCTGAAGTGTCTCGTAGAAGAATGTAAATGGAAACATTTCCATTTACAAAGTCATAATTATTTTCTTTCAGTGGAAAGCTAAAGCAGTTTTATTATAATATTAATTGCCCATAATAATATACATAAAATAATGAGATATAAATTTCATAAAATATACATAAAATAATGAGATATAATTGTACTTTCCATACACATAAAATTAATTATTGTTTGTATTAAAATATGTTATATATTAGAAAATGAATCATTCAAAATTGTTCTATGTTGTTCGGACATGTCAGTATTTATAAATCATTCAAAATTTGTGCAGCAGAATTGTTAATGTTTGACATTTTTAAGTCTGTTAATATGGAAGTATGAATCAGAAATTACTCACTTTTTGTAATGTTTTAGAATATTTTTAAAAAAAGTAAAATATTTAATGTGTCTTCATTTTGTGACAGTAAGTTTTTACTGATTTTAATACTATTTTTCATTCAGTTTTTAAATCTTAAATACAATGATTTTTAAGAAAAGATAACCAAATCTTGTTATGCTTTTCGAGTTTGGGTTGTTTTAATTCAGTAGAATCATTCATTGCATTTGTTGTTTATTTTTGTGTTTATAACAGCAGTTGATATATTTGCATATAGAGTAAAAAATCTGATGTGTACACCACATGACTTTCTTGTACGGAATATTAAATTATACGCATTTTTTCTTGCATTTCATTTAAACTTATTGGATTGAATTAAATCTGCTTGGTCGATAGCGCATAAACCACAATAGAATAAATACACTCTTTAAATTCACTATATTTGTTTACCATAGCGACACTCTGGCGCTAAGTTCACTCAACAGCATTATATTTCGTTCATATTATAACTTATAATGCACAAAATTTATATCATTTGAAGAATTATCTAATCGTTACCACATGTTCTATTCAAATATTATAATAAAGCTAAAACGATGTATAAAAAAATTAAGAAAACAAAACAAAAAAAGAAACAGTTTTTTCACAGACGATCAGTATCTCATTCAATTAATTCAGTTCTCACTCGTGACAAGGAAAATAACATAAAAATAAATATATGTATTAAAAATTACAAAGTAAATATTAAAACATATTTCCTCAAAAAACTTCAGAAAGAATTAAGCATTATATAAATATATTTATATACGTTTGGTGCTGTGATTGCAACCAAATAGAGGTGCACATCTCATGTTTAGCAGTCTTATATCAATTTCAATGTTTTGAGGCTACTCATTTTTAAGTTATGCAAGATACATACGTACATACAGACACCACAAAAAATTCTTTTTAGAATTCATTTTAAAGCAGTTTTATAATTTTTTTGGCAGAAAAAGAATCTTTTATTCTGTTGTTACGTACAGATGTCATGCAAAAACATTGTTAAATTGCATTCGATAGTGGTCAAAATGGATATTTTCGTTGAAATATGCTGCCTGAAATTTTTTTTGATTACAATACTACTTCCTTTTTACTTCGTACAAGGAAGTAAAAAAAGTCTATTTAGGCCTATAAATTTAAATCATAATGAAATACTGGTCTTATCAACAAAACATAAAACTTATGGTACTTTTCCGTTTTGCCGGCGCAAGCGATAAAGTTGCCAATAATGGTACAACCGATGCCAAACGGAATATTCTCGCTGGTAACCTTTACGCCTCATTTTCAAAAAAGTCGCAGCTTTTTCTATCAGAATGTTTGTTTTTTTCAATATGGCATATAATTGCATAGAATTTTTATCAGATAGTCCAGCTTTATGTCTAAGGCCATTTTCGTAATTAAGTCAATTAGAATGCAATCACAGTGCTTACCTGAAGCCGAAAATATAGAAAAGGTAAAGTCAAGGGGTTATTAAATTCAATCTAAGAGAATGCATTAGCGAAGTAAAGCACTGCAGTTTTACATAATTTCTGAGTAAGCTATTCGTACGAATTGAAATATTTCTTGCATATAAACTTGTGTTCCAAATTAAGATTTAACTTGAAATTAATGTAGATAATTACTGAGAGCATTATATTTTGTAGAGTAGTTTACGTGAGATGAGATCGCTTGGGGTCACGTGATATGAACCGGCGAATCAGGATGGTGAACCATGAAAGCATAGTAAATTCTTAAATTAATGTTTTTTTTACAAATTTATTGTCTTTATTTATTGGCTTTTTATAAAATTTTAAGCGATATTAAAATGTTTATGCCTTCAAAAAAAAAAAAAGAATTCTTAAAACTAACATTTTTTTAATATTTTTTATGTGTATACTGTATGTTGTCGCCAATAAAGTCTGCTTGGCGAGATTTGTGCCGGCGAAACGGAAAAGTACCAAACTTACTATTGTTTTAGTTTTGTTTTATGATTTTACTTTCAAAATATGTTTTAATTTTTTGAAGGGAGAAAAATGTCAAATTCAAGAATTCTGTAATAATTTATCCTTAATTTTAAAATTATGTTGGTATTTCTTAAGTAGAACATTATATTTCTACAGATGTAATTTCTGAAGCAAAAAACAATAGTGTATTTACTTGAAACTCTACAAGGTTAATGTTTTATAACTTAATATCAAACTGAAGAAGAATGTATTCTGTAAATGTTACATTGTGTTTATAATTTGGTATAGTTAGAAAATTCTAACCACTTTGAAAGGCTTCTTTCTTTGTTTCGTTAAAATATATTCTTTTTGTCAGCCTACAAAATTTACTTCCGTGCTTTTACAAAAACTTTGACACTTAAGTATTATCCTGCCGATTATAAAACTATGGTCAAACAGCAAGATTTAGCATCAGTTGCAGATAAGCATCATGTAACAACACACTTGTAATAGCTTTGCTTTTATTTTGATATAGCCCCAATAGATTCTTGATATGCTAAACTTTTTTTATGAATCAGACTATAAATTAACTTTTACTGCTCTATTTTTATTGTATTGGAAAAAAATGACTAAAATTTAGACAGACTGAACAGCAACAGTTATGGGATCCTACCATCAAAACACATGTGTAGTAATGGACATGATATGGTCAACTGAATGGCTGACAGAACTGTAATAGATTAAAACAATCATCTATGAGAAGTTTATTTTCATAGCATTTTAAACAGAACTTCTGGTAAAATCAGAGGCCCTAATAAAATAGTAGAAATCAACAAAACCCTTTTTATAAAATGCAAATAGAAGCAAGTCGAATACTGATTGTTTATTAAATAGGTTCTCTGTGACTTCTATAGGAATGATTGGCACAACTTTGGCAGAATCTCCTCCATCTTTCACAGTGGACTAGATAATATGTAAGTACTAAAACTTCCATAGTAGTATTCAGTTCTTTAAGAATTATTAAAATTTGTATAAGCACTAATAACAGTTTATCAAGTTCCATCATATGAGAACAATTACCATGAAAAGATTTCTTTAGTTTGTAACTGTCTAAGCAGGAAGACTTTTCATTTAGAGTTTGCATGGGAAACATCAAAATTTCGATGCAGACAGTATATGTTGCCAATAATTGAATCAAAAAATTTACTTTATGTATTTGGCACATGATAGCCTTTGGCAATATTAAATGTGTTCTTGCTTGCAGACAGTTATTTAGCTCTTATATGTGCATAGTTCAGACTATATTGTGTATTAATTATGCAAATATTGAGAATATAGTATTGATTTTCAAAAATAATATGAAAGGTGAATAGTGTATTTTGATCTAAAAGGTAATGGCTGCATCTGTACAACTAATGTTTTTCTTTTTTCATATGTGGCCTAATAATATCTTTTGATAATACGTGCTGAATGTAAATAATTATTAGAAATAACCCAGTTAATGAGATATGTCATGTGCCTGAAGGGAAAAGACTTAATTCACGACACAGAATACTTAATTGAAAGTAATTATAATATTAAAAAACCTATTAGAGTGAGTCATCATATCTTGAGTATCAATATTTATAAGACTTTTAAATGTATATTTTTGCTCTTGAAAAGATAATAAATATTTTAATAATATATGTATTGTGTCTTTTTCTTTCTTGTATTTTTTATCTTTCTGTTATCCATAGAGAAACCAATTCTTGTGTAATTACTGATGTATTAAATTGCAGTATGTATATAAAATTCTCGAAGTTGTATTCCCTTTTTTAATTCATATGTTGCTGTAAATCATGATCAAAAGTTGTGTATACTGTTTTAAAAAATTATTTTCACATATTCATATATATTCAATTATTGTATATCTGCATTCTTCATTCAGTTAAAAATGTTTGAGATATATAATCCAGAAATTTCAATATTAAATGTAAAGCTAGATCTAAAAAAGTGAAATAGATTAGTATTAAAAACAGTAATTATGGAAAAAAAAGTTGAAGAAATTAAAATCATTATTGCTGTTTACAGTTGTATGAAGCTGCATGTTGTTAAATATTAAGGTAGTGCCTCATTTATCAGTATAATTTTAATGAAATCTATTAAACAATTTTTAGCTATGATTTGTGACTCATGCCTTTTTAAAAAAAATAATGTAGAGAAATATGGGGTTATCATTGCAGAAATGTGCCTTATAAACCTCTTGTAAGAATAATGTAAAAAGTGTAATTCAGTGGAAAAGAACTAAATACAGTCAATAAAACACTTTTCAAAAATTTTATTTTTACATGTGTGATAAACATACATTATCAGTGCCTTGTCTATAAATGCAAGTACAGTTAAGCTTCTTCAGTTAACATTTGTTCCAGTTTGATACCTAACACAGATGACAATTTCACAGCATCCCCCCCCTTTTTTTTTTTTTTTTTTTTTTTAGAACCTGTAATAAAAAAAAATCATACGCCTTCAAAATTTACCAAATAGTTTAAAAAACTGTAACAGAAACTCTTAACGAAAAGTGTTTTTTCAAAAAGAATTCATTTATATATGAGATTTTCTCAAAATACAAGCAATACAAGTTAAACTGTATTTAGCTGAACTCTGATATATGGTATATTTTTGCATATACTGAAAACTGTTTGTATATTTTCACTTTTATTTAAATATTTTCCCTTTGAAATTAAACATTAAGATGATACAAATTGAAATGTCATTTGCTTGAAACTTGAAAAATAATTTTATTTGTAATTCTTCACTCAGTTAAAAATATTTGAGATATATATAATCCAGAAATCTGAATAGATAATTAATTGTCCCATCAAATAATCTCGATGCGTGATTCATGCGAATTGGATATGCATGTAGTGGTTCTCAACCTTTCTAGCCCCATGCATCCCTTTCATCATTGCTAGACAATCATTCCCCCACCATTCTTTCCAAACTCGAAAAATACATATACATTTATTTAAATGTAGAGTATTTTTTAATGTTCTTTATAAATTAAACGAGAAGGTGTTGATAAAACCAAAACTTTAATAGAAGTAGTTTTATTTGGTCATAAACTAAATACTTATCAGATAAATAAAAAGGACGGCCTCATTCTCTCCCTGAAACTGTGAGAGTTCTTCTTGATTGAGAACCCTTGTTATTACAGTAATAGATTGTCTACCAATGCAGAGGATTTGGTCGTTTTAGGGAGATGATGTCCAATACTGATATTTATTTATATGTTCTTAGAAACATAAGTCATGCCTACATTAGATGTTAAAAATCTCGTGTTGAGAGTGATGAAACTTCTGAGTCTAAAAGCATCTTCGTATTGGGTGTGAGAGAATGTCTTATTTTATTGAAGCATATTTCTTTATGTTCTGTATATGCTTCTTAAGTAAATACAAAATGC